CGGCGCCGGCGACGATCTGCGCGAGCGCGAGGCGGACGACAGGGGGAAGCTGCGCCCTTGGCTCGGCAGCGACAGCGGCAGCGGGAGCCGATGGCAGCGGCGGCGGCGGGCGCGAGCGCCGGAGGAGGCCGTCGACCCCCCGATGCCGTCTTCTCCTCCACGGCCGCCGCCGCCGCAACCGCCCTCAGGGTATGGAGGAGGGGGAGGGGGAGGGGGTTACCAGGGAGGGGGCGGGTGGTAGCATGTTGCCAGGAGAGAGAGGGAGGGCGAGGAGAGGATGAAGGGGGGGGGTGTACTCATGTAAACGCATGCCGTAGTCGTTAGACCAAGTGACCTCGCATCCCTACAATGTCGGGACGGAGCGATATGCCGGGTGATCGCCGGCCCAGGCAACCTTTACACGAGGATGCTGGTCGTCATGCGTGCGTCTGCCGCGCCAAACCAGATACATGCCAGGATGAGAGGGGGAAGGGAATTGTTTGGCTGGGTCGTGCGGTACAGCAGTAGCAGTAGAGCGGGAGTTTTGTCACACACGCCGCCTGTTTTTCATGTTGTTGTGGAGCTGCTGACGCCGGTTGAGCTGTGCCGTGCTCCTGCTTGTTGTGCGACAGTTTTGCTGAGTCGGGGTTTTGATCGATGTTTTTGCAGGCTATTTTTCTCTGCTTGCCCGTTAGAGGGAAGGAGTGTTCCTCCGCAGGATAGTTCCTCCGCACCTCGCCATCTGTCGCAGTTGCGTGACCACGAGACGAAAGAAAAGGGGGGGGGAATTATTACGACGGTTTCGTATCAACTTTTGCGTTGGGTTCCGTTTTGCGCGGTCCGTCCTGCTTGTTGTTGATGATGATGATGATGATGGGAGAATTTATTTGTTGTCGAGACGACACACATGCCTAAAGAGTGTCTGTCGTGTTTCGTGACGTCACCCATGGGTTGCGAAGGGTGACTTTTGCGTTAGCTTTGTCATCGGCCGTGCCGCTACTAGGCTTTGTGTTGATGCTCTCTCTCTCTTCCAGCAGCGCATGAACACGGCCGCCAGGATCCATCGCCGCTGTCGGGCAAAGATTGCCGTAGTCAGAAATGCACGACCGTTTATGATGAGAGGGCTCCGTTGTGTCCGCGATGTCACCGTCGTTGGTACGTTTGGGTTGTCGTGTCGTCGTGCTCGGGAAATTGGTTGTCAGGTCTGAGACGATGAAGTAAATCATGTAACACTATCGGCATATTTCGGAATAAGATTCTGATTGCGGGCACGACACACACACACACCTCTCTCGGTGGTCTGTACTACTTCCTTTCGACCGTAACACGACGACGACAATCGCACCACGCGATGGGACAGGCGACGCACTGCCTTTTCTTCCCTGAGCCAAACCACCGGATTCGTTCTTGCAGATGAATTGCAGAACAACAGCTGTTCGTACGTAGCCACCAATGAGCCTTGCCGTGTCGCATCCTTCAAGAATCGTGCGTGTCAACCGCGGTTAGTGGCGGAACATCACCCGCCTCGTTGCCACGGAAAACCGTTTATTTAGCGGCAGTATGCATGCAACAATGGTTCTCGCGTTGTAGCAAAAGAGAGGGGCATAAAATTTCGCACTTGGGGTAGCTCTTGCTTCGATGGGAGCACAGGACAACATCCATCGATTCGGCCAACGACCTTCACACCCGCGGCAAAATTGAACACACTCGCACGCGCGCACACTTTTTAATACACTTTGGTTCTTCCGGAAAGCTACAACACGTACTCACGAAGTCACTAAATACGCACACCGCCCTGCTCCCCCCCGCCCCCGAAAGCAAAACATACGAGCGCACGGAACGCATCATATATCTAACATCGCACGACAAGTCCAGCTGGGCCGAGAGACGTGCTCGTGGTGTAGGGGGCAAAGCCCATGCTCGCGATGTCCTCGGCGGGCACGCCACAGGCCTTGAGCTTGGCGGTGTAGGTGCGGAGGGAGTCGTTGTAGCCCTTCGCGGTCCTCACGAAGGCGTACTGAAGGTCGCTGATGGCGCCGTTCTTTGCGGTGAGGACCTCCTCCAGGCCCGTCATGACGCGATCCACTTCCGGCGGATCCAGCTGGATGGTTGTTTTTTTTTGTGCCGAATAGGGAGGGTTGACAAGCCGATCGAACCGTAAGTCCACATACGAGATCATCAGATTGTGCGGTTTAGGAAGCTAAGCAAGGAAGGAACCCAGATAATAAAGTGTGCGGTGTGCTTGTATGTGCGGTGAGCTGGGCGGTATCGTGGCGGAGACCGGGTGGCAAGGAGGCTGATTTCCAGGTGGCTACCTATGAAGTCGTACCTTAGCCGCCGTGACAATCTGCGTCAGCTGTACTCCCGCCCTCTCGATCGATTCTTCCACCGAAGACATCCGCTGCTCCAAGGCCAAGTTTCTGGGAGGAAAGGGCGAATAGATATAGTGATGCGTAGGGCGAAGGAACAGACAGAGAGACAGGCAGGTGATACGCCCATGGTCTAAACATGACGAACACTTGCTGTTCCGTGTGCTTTATTATAGGGTATTTTGTCCTGGAACCACCCTATAGCCAATGTTGCGGCTTCAGGAGAATTCCACGCGACATTTCAGTCGCCCACGACGTGGTCATGCAGACCCGCACGAGGCGTCGGTGTGCCACCCCACCCAGTGTTTCGGAGCAAATTCTGCCGATCGAGAGGAAATCACGACGATGTCGGTCTAGTGCCTCCCCTCTAGCAGCAAGTGGCAACCTTGTTCTGAAAACATCCCTGAACAACGGACGGTCGGCGCTCAAAAGAACAATTGGTAGGTCCGTTCGGACAAGTGGCGGCAGAAACAGACGGATCATCACCGCTACTCGAACGTGAGCAACGCCCCCCTCCCACTTCTGGATAATCCTTATGAAACGTGGCCTGGGCCGGCGAAAACTCGACGTTGTAGGGACGCGAGGTCTATGGTCTAGGGATTACGGCATGCGTTTACATGAGTACCCCCCTCCCCCCATGCTCCGTCCTTTCAAGGACGCTTGGTCAATGGTCAAACCGCTAAAACATGAGTATGCCCCCCCCCCCTCCGCCCCCCGTTCACCTGAAGTCGCTCTTCTGCTGAATGGCCCTCACTGCACCCTCGAAAGTGTCGTATAGCTGGTCCCTCTCCTCGACCACCCTCGCGAAATCTACCTCCAGTTCTTTGTGGCTATCTCGGACCTCTGACAGCTGTGAATCGAAACAACGTTTTGGGGGGAGTAAGATGCGTTTTTTTTGCCGGGGAAGGGGGGCGTACTCATTTGTTTCTTGGCTTAGTCATTTGACCATTGACCACGCGTCCCTTTCGAGACGGAGCTTTGCCGGGGAAGGGGGGAGGGGAATACATACAGTGGCTTCCTCGTGAAATATCTCACAACTGCCTAATCTTGCGTGTTTGCTCCGTTACTCGCAGTCTTTCTTGACTCAGCCGATCCTCGGCAACATGAACGTACTTTAACTTGTTGGTTCCGTGAGCTCGGGGTTGGGGTGGCGGATTGGAAGCCGTGTCGGTAATCTACCCCCATGATAAGTATCCCTTTGGAGGGTTGGGCGGGTAGGGAGCGGGTTTTGCTTCAGAAAAGGGCACTCCCAAACATTTCGCTGTAGTTTCACAGACCCTACGACCCCTTCGCGGATGGCGTGGTAGTCACTAAGCATCATCAGCCGCCCCCGGCCTACAGAACAATAGGCAGATAAACGTGTGGTCATCACTCGGTCGGGTGCTACATTGACGGGCCCACCTGCTCGTCGATGACTCGGAGCCTAGCCTTGGCGTTGGTGAGAGACATGCGGTCCTTCTCCTGCCCCCTGAGGTGTGCGTGAAGCTCGGCCACGTCGGTGAGAGCCACGGTTAGCGGCTCGCTCAGTCGCTTGTTCTCCTGTGGTACGGTGGGAAGGGAATTGTGCTTGATTGGAATGCACGGTGAATGTTGTAGGCACGGGGTGGCACGTGTGCCTGCGTGAAAGGAGTCGCCAAATAGAGCTGCGCGGTGAATCGAGAGCAACACCTGCAGCACGCGATCAAACCAAGCCTTTGAGATGGCGAAGGTGGCTGCAAACGGCACGTGCGGCACGGTGCGCAGCTTCTGTGCCGTGTATCACTGCATGTGAGGTTCCAACGGGTGTGCCAGCAGGACGCGTGCTTAGGGTCATGAGCTAACCGTAGAATCGGTGACTACCTACCTGCTGTAAATTTTACCACGTGTATCCGATCGCACGTATGTCGTACGTTTGTGATGCCTAAACAACCAAGTCAGTGCCTAGCAAATACAAATAGCAGATCGCTCACGTGTGATATGTCTAGCATGAGCTTCTGATTAGCCACAGCCTTCTTCTTCATCTCCACCAGCTCGTCCTTCAGGGAGCGAATCAACTGTCCCACAGGAATACCCCCATCACGAAAAAAGAGACGTTACGAATGACCAGGAGACGGCGACGGCAAATGGTAACAACGGAGAGAGATGGGCGGGGTGGGGGTAGGGAGAGTCAACATACAGACGTTCTACGATGCGCAATAGAGAGTGTAGGGGAGGCCGGGTAAAGATGCGTCGCTGTCTGCGATGAGTGATAGCAAGTTAATGACTTTGCCGCCGTTGTCTCGGCTGCTCTTCGCTAGAACAAAACACATCAAGCCATGCACCGGCACCTTAAGGTTGTCGTTGGTGATGTCGTTGTAGTAGGCCTTCATCTGCCCGAAGGCCTTCTCGTGGTTCTTCATCAGGTCGTTGATGTGGAGGTTTTTTCGCTCCTCGATCTCGTGAATGTCCACCTTCAGCAAGACGAACCGAAGAATTAACACAACACGTGTCCATATCGTCATTTGGAGGGACACAACAGGCAACGAACGGGAACATAACTCGTCCTTGGGTTTCAGAAGGCGGGCGGGCTGGCGTGTACACCAGGCAACAGCAATGAAACCGCGCAACCCTTCGACGACGACGAATCGCTGTTTTCGAAAGGATGAAAGGAAAAAACGTCGATGACACTCAACAAGGTAAAGCGAGAGAGAGAGAGAGAGAGAGAGAGAGAGAGAGAGAGAGAGAGAGAGAGAAACCTGTAGACCCTCACGATATACATCACGGACGGCAGTTCACGCAAAGCGAGCCATCGCAAAAGCTTCATCGATCCGTTGTTCGCTGTTCGGTCCACGCGGACGACGATACGGTGCCGCCATTGGAACGTTTGCCGCGCCGGGGGGGAGAAACTCGGCACCAAGAATTAAATTCAAAGCGTTGGGGCCAGAAAACCTCGCCAGCCGCTTCTTCGGCAAAGTTCCGGCCACGCACATGCGAGCATCGCGTGTGCAGCAACTCAGGGATCATACGGTAAGGTGGTAACACAGAACATCGTGTTGTAGGGTGGTACCTTTCTCCGGAGCTCCAAGTCGTCCTCCAGGGAGGCCAGCCTCGCGTCGCACCGGGCTCTCAGCTCCGAAAGGCTCACCTCGAAGCCCTCCCGCATCTTTGTGAGCGTCTTCCCGTGAGCCTTCTTCACCTACGGTGTTGTTGGGGCATGGGGCATGGGGCGTCCGCCTTTAATGTTCGCGTGGTTTGTGCACGCGGCGGAGACAACAGAAGAGGAGAACGGCAACATCACAGAGTAACGCGCGTAGCCAGCCGGTATCGAGATGCGATCGTCCGCCTCCGCGAGTCATTCCGAGGGGACGGTGCCACCTTTTTTACTTCCCGCCCAGCTCAGTGTTTTTCCACGACCGTGGTTGCAAGTGACATGGATTATTAGTTCGTCTCACTCAGTATTTCACACTCGGTCACAGATGGTTGCCTTCATTTCGAACCGGTTTGTCTACCGGCTGTTGAGCCGGGTGGCTGCAATCAACCAGCGTGTCTAAACTATAGTCAACTGGCCGTTGAACCACGGTGCTTATTTAGACACCCGCCAAGTGTTCCTTCGGAGAGGCGAGGGGTAGGTGGCGCTCTCGTGGAAAATGTGACTTGCACCGCCGCCACCCACCACCAGGAACATTCTATGTAAGGATCCGTTGTTGAATGTTACCGGGGCTAGCGTACGGCTTCGGCACGTTTGTTGCTATACGCTGTGTCTAAGTGCAACGCCCTATCTAGCGTGCCTCATACACCCGTCTCGCTGGGAAGGACCTGGATATTCCAACACGGGCATGTCATGACAGCCACGGCCAGAAGCACACGTACCTGGAACGGGTAGTCCCCGTAAGGTTTACAACCCGAAGGCGTCCCATACTCTACGAGGCCGTGCTTCCCCGGTTCCTTCCTATCGTCCTCTGAAGTATGTGTACAGAGCATGCACCCTCGCGGGGTTTCCCGTTCCACTCCAACACCCCCGACCCAGCTGGTCTGCTGCTCCATTTTGCCGCTTGTGCCATCGACGGCTGTCCTGTCAAGTACTATGGGGCTGCCTGTCTGCTTGTGTCTACCGCGGCGTACGTACCTGGGCGATTTCCTCGGCGTTGAGCAGGTAACGCTCCTCGACCTCGCTCTTGATATCTTTCTTTGCTCGGTGCAGCTCCGAGCTTCGATTGCTGCGCGCTCGGGACAGGAAAGAAGAGAGGTCGAAACACCCACCGTGGGCAAGACAGGTCAAACCGACATGCGAACGTAGTGTACACTCTTTGGTTTATCGCCAAGTACACAACGAATTTCCTTGCGTTTGTCATATTGTACGCCACAGGAGCGCGTGGGGCTCATTTTACACGTACACCCGCTACGTGTCTCGGCAACAAAAACAAGGGATGTACAAGGGGCCTCTCAGCAGCGGGATGTGCTCAGTCTTGGCCTATGATCGAAGTTTCGTGGCGTAGAAGAGATGCGACCGCAAAACAGAGGGGACGGCGCTAAGCGAAGCTTTGGAGAGGAACAAAGGCTTCTCCTAGCAGCGTTCACGTTGATGACCACGCCAGAAGCCCAACGAAGGTCACACTCCTTTGCCCTCTAACCTAACGCGTGCGCGCCGGCAACATCGTCATCATCATTATGTATTTTCCACATGGCTCACCCGTGGAGATCGCCCTCGCCGCCCAAGAGTTGCTCGCCGTCCATGGTGATGGATTTGAGGTTGTTCTGGTGCTCGTACTCCAGGTGCTTCACCTTCTGCACGTACACGCGGACTTCCACCCTGGGCACGTGGCAAGAAGTCAACATCATCCGGCAGGCGGGGTGGGGTAAGAGAGGCACGCGTAAAAAGCGCCCGGGGCGGAGGGGAGAGGTGGGGTACGGAGGGAAACGCTGGTGGATTCCTGTGTGCGCTCGTCGTCGTACACATCTCGGGCGAAGCGTTCCGGCTGAGGATGTTGTGCTTAGTTGCGGCTCGTGTCTCGGGTCCCAACGTTTGGGCTGAAGCCTGCTAAAAGCCGGCTGAAGCCGGCGCGAAAATTTCAACAGAAACAGCCCTTACAACACTTCTGCTCGTCTTGCAGTTGCAAGACCCCCTCCTTCAAAGCGAGATGAGACACACCGTACACAACAAGCCATGTATCACAATCAACCCCCCACAGCGTGTCTTTTTCTCGTGCTTCAGAGAATCATCGGCGGGTACTCTTCGGACGAGCACCCGCGCACTTGCGACGAGATGGCACAGAGCGAAGGAACTTATGTCGCTAAATCGGTCGTGCTGGCAACTAGCGCCCCATCGTGTGCCCATGCGCTCAAACGGAACATCAAGAAAATTATAGGTGCACGTTCGATGCTAGAGCGGGAGATTCCATGCTCTGGCCATCGTCCGGGGCATGGTGTCGCGGACGGGCGAGCGCTTGCGAACGAATACGTGTATAAACATCACACCCCAGAGAAGTGTCATGCAGATAGATGCTCTCGCCTTTACCTGTGGTTGTCCTCCATCAGCTCCATCTCCCTATCCTTCGCCGAAGTCTTGAGCTCCATCGTCTTGACCTCTTGGTGGGTGATGTCATAGAACGTTTGGATGGTGTCCTGCAAGGTACGGATGTTTAAGGGGTAAACCTTAACCTTGGCTGAGTTGGAGTGGCTCTTTCAGAAAATTGACTCCACCCGCCGGGCTCGAGGTCCGTTAGTATCATAGGCGGAGTGCACTCGGAGTAGAGGTTTCGTCGGCGGATGCGAAATTGTGTAGTGTGTCAGGTGTCTAGGATGTTACCGTGTCTGAGGCAAGATTTAAGCGTTTCCTGTTCTCTATCCACGCTTGGCTGAAAAGTAGTGTGCATTTTCTCGCCTCTCCCAGTTTTGTTCGTTCGCGTCTTCCCAACAACACTGGGACTAACAGGTCTAGCATTCACAACGGTGTTTTAAGGTGTACTCTTCATGGAATGCATCGTCAACACATCCTGGAGAATGTGAATATTTTGCTCGTTCTGGTACCCGGCTATCGGCGGATGAGTCGACCTCTCACCCTTTCGAGTTGAACGTAGTTACGGTCCAGCATGGACTTCTCCAGCTGTTGCTTGAGCATTGGAACCACCTCCTGCAGCATCTCGAGATCCATATTGTCATATTCTGCCAAAAATGTCAGCCGAAAAGACGAAGATCGTAGTTTCGACGATTGATCGAGTTACAGGACTCCATCGGGAGACAAATGGTCTACCCGTGTTTCCTATGGGTAGAGAATTGTAGCCACGCGAGTGCGTTCGTGGCATCGGAATACGAAAAAGAAATCATCTTACACCAAGCGTCGGGGTGTAGCATTAAAGGTGCAGACCAATGGGTTGATAGTCTGCACTATGGCATAAGCCTTTGGAGGTGCTGCCGGCCCTGTGTTGATTAAAATCAACCCAGTTGATTACGGGTGACATGACTCACTTCACGAGACAAGCCTAGTCAGCTAGCTTGATCTACCGAGAAGTGCACAATGTGCTCCGAAATATAGCAGAATATTGTACACTGGCCAGGCGCCTAGGGTCAGAAACTCTGGTCATTAGATGCAGATTCGTGCACATGTGGTGAGCAAGCTCAGGTCAGCCTCTGCAGGACTCATACGAAAAAGTCTCTGGTGTTCACCAATACCCTAGTAATGCCACCAAGCATCTGGATCAGCACACGGTAGGTATTGGGCCGAAACACTTCCTTCATACCTGTTTCTTCTTGCTTGACTTCCTCCTTCTTTCCTTTCTTCCCCTTCCCCTTCTTCCCTCCCTTCTTCTTGGCCCCCATGTTGTTCTCTTTTGTGCTGCCGAGCCTGGGTTGATCTGTTGTTGTTGGTGTAGCGGAGGTGCGCTGGATACGGTAACTTGAGCTGTCGGAGAAGTCCCGTCTGATTTACCGATGCAATACTTGTACACGATTAATAGTCCACTCTGTGTGCGTACAAGTACTCATGATTCCTAGCCCAGAGGAGGTTAGCGGAAGGTGTACGCACGAATCTTGTGTGCACTGGTATTGGACGAGGGCAGGGATCCACTCATCAAGGGACGAACACGAGTTTGTGTCACGGCATTGTCATTAGTACGGGCGAGACAACGACTGAGATACTCTGTAGCACGTGCCTGGACATACGCTCACCGGTGTGGAATTCGTGGAACCTGATTAGCAGGGACGATGAGGCATCCTCTTTCTATTCCACTTATGCATACACTCGACGAATATCGTGGATTCAAAGGGCAGTTTCATCATCCCTTGTCAAGTTGTCAAGTTGTCAAGTGCATCAGACCCGAACCGAAAATAGTTCCGCCGCGCTTTGCCAGTTCCGCCGCACGCACAGGCTCCTCCTGCCTCCTTCCTCCTTCTCAGTCTCATCCAAGCTCCTTGACACCTCTATCGGCACTCCAGCAGGTACACGGCCTTCGACATGGCTCCTATTACCACGAAACACTTTCAAGGAATGAATCGGTGCGCAAGTGGGATAAAGGTGCGCAGGTTTCCTATCAAGACACATGCATGCCCATACTGTATCAACACCAAGAATCCCCTGCGCTCTTGGCACGCGTGGATCGGCACAATCTTTTGGTATCGCTGCCGTCCTATGAGCCCATCCATTCTGCAGCACCAGCTTAGCGGTACTATATCATTCACTGTATCGCCGCTTGCGGCACCATGCTTCAAATTAACTACACATCTATCTTCCCCTTTTCGTCACAGTTGGGTGTTTCATGTGACTCTGCCGGCTGACAGACGACTGATCATGTTTCAACGAGCTAACGAGCTGCTACAATGTACTGCCACGGGTTGGAGCTTCGTTGAGTGCCGTATATCTTGCTGAATAAATAACAGTAGTGTACTGCATGGATACATACAAAATAGGAAATCGGGCACATCGTTGGGCGTGACCCAAAGCGATCCCAGCATGAGCGCTACGAACTATTGGTTTCCCGCCCCCTCGCAATCTAGGGCGTGCTGGAGACTCTCGCGAACAAACTCAAGCAACAAGAAGAGGAGATCAAAGCTGATGAGGCCGGAAAGCTCGAGTTTGAACGACGGTTATCTCAGGTACTAGAAACTGAGGCCGACAGAAGTGGAGCTTGTTTGAAGGCTTGGATACATAGCTGGGAGGCTATGCATACGAGCCGAGAGAATATATTTCGTTTGATAAAGACTTATCCGTAAGACTACGTACTCAGTCAGCGCTGACTGAGTAGTCTTATGGATGCTCCTTGATCAAACAGAGCTCAATGTTGCTTTTTGTGTGACGTGTGGTAAATCATTCTCTACAAGAGGACGCGATGAGAGATCTCCTGGTCCTACCTAAAATGACGTGACCTTTGCGGCCCCGTATCTGGGTACCCCGAGCCATGAGAGCTGACCTCAGAGTCATAATTCGAAGTATAATTTACCTCGGTGACAGATATTTTCTGTGATGCTTGAAAACAAAGTCGTTCATCTCCCAACAGCCCGTAGTTTTCTCGCCTCTAACCCGGGGTAGCACCTGTCTGTTTCCGACCATGTGTACCAGTCATGACATTTCATCTTTCTATCCGCATGCGACGATTCAGTTGTTGCTGAGAATCTCTACTGACCTTACGGTTTTGCCTGTCTCAAGTGAAGAACTCCGATCTGTGAACACCTTGAACAACTACGTTACGTTTCTACGACTTACTTTCAAAGGCAGGTAGACTTGAGAGTAAATCCTTCCCCAGTCATCATTTGTATTCACGACCAGGCGGCTGGCAAACAAAGCGAATTAGGCTTACAGACCTTGAAATGATAATTCCTCAACTCGCCTGAACTACTCTGTTTTCAGTTCCAATCATCCGTTTGAAATGATCGGTGAGAGGGCGTGAAGACCCCAACCTAGAAACTTCTCTGTACCATCCCTAGTATGAGCCCTGCTGGCTCTTCTCTAGAACTCAGTTTTTCTCCAAAACACACACCAGCACACACCTCCTACTAAGGGCTTGCCACTACCCTACGTGGAGGGCTTGACGGCGGCAACTCTATGGCTTCCTGCCACACTGCGCCAACCAGTCCGCTCGTGTAAACGCCATACCCTTCTGTGTCCCTGTTTTCCGCAAATTCCTCAACCGAATCAAAATAGCTGAGGGAAAAGAAGAGAGAGATCGAGAGTCGGATAGATGCAAACATGAGGTGGACGGCCAGCTTCGACCAGGACCTGGGACCGTTTGCCAAGATGTACAAGGCCAAGACAAAAGAGATCGCCTCCATTTACGACGACGCCAAAGCGCGCCACAGGGAGGGCGTCAAGGTTCTTGTCAACGAGTTTAACTATCACCCGGAGTTCTTCCGGCCAAAAGACGGCTTTCATGCGACACCATTTGTACCCAAGTGACTTGTGCCGGGTCGGTGAACTCCAGAAATTCTGTCAGTTGATCACAACCACGCGTATGCGTTTAGGTGTGACTTTGCGCGTAAGATAGGGGGGGGGGGGGGGGGGGCGACCAATCAAGCGGGGTAGCGCGGTCAAGGTGAGGGATTTGAAGGTTGTGTTGGTTTCTTCAAAGGCTAGGTGGACGTCAAGGATTTCGTGCTGTTATTCACGCCCCCAAGGACATCGGGGGGGAGGCAAAGCGAACAGCTTGTTGTGGTGGTATATTGGCTGTGGACATTGACGTTATTTCCATGTGTAACTGTATTGCTGCTGTACGAGGTGGACAGGTACCATCCATCGGACGATACTCAGGCAAGAGTCCCGAGGATCTGGTTGGCGTCGTCAGCAAGACGGCCCTCTTCTACGTGTTTGTGCCGCATATAATATATGTAGGTTGTGTTGGACAAGTTGGTAGACAAGAAGAGTCGGGAGCGGGGAGCACGAGTCCCCGCTCTCTGTCACTCTTCCGGCACTCAACACGAGCAAGGCCCAGAAACAATCAAAGTATGTCCGAACAACCTCCTGCTCCTCTACGTTTTTGTCGGGTCTGCCCTATATCGGCAACAGCGACCTGCCCTGAATGGCACCTACGTGTTCCCTCCCAACGTGCTGGGAACCGGGCAGCGTGTGATGCTTCAACCATGCCCGACTTTATGTTTTGTACGGAAGGGACAGTCAGTGTCGCAGAGGACAGCAGAAAGCCCTTCTGCTGTAAATACGGCGAGAATGGAATGGTGAACTGGTGGACATCACACAAAGGCATGGCAACCATGCCGTATTTGGAGCTACCTCCTCCAGAGGCAGGCAACCAGGCTCTCATGAGACCCACACATGACCAACCTCCACCAAGACTTGGGGAGGATACGTATTCTGTCTTTTCTGGCTGAAAGCGCCCGGGCACAGGTCTCTGACATTGGCAAAGAGACCCTAGGAAAACACCGCAAGGGTTGCTCTAAGGGTCTGTGAGGGTGTGCGGCTTAATTTTGGAGAGGTGTCGTATTGTTTCGTCGATCTCTGAGTTCTTCCTAGGCAATGACGGAGAAATCTTGCAGACAGTTACTTGGGGTACAGCAGCATGTAAAAAGAAGAAGTGGATTCGAGGCCCGTGGCAACGGCGACGTCAACACTATGCAGGTACATATTTCATGACGCCAAGAAAAAAAAGAAAGAAAAAGACGAAGATTTTTTCTCACGGAGAGGATCGAACAGGGCGGCGTCGGCTATACGTCCACACGTTCAGCCTGTCACACAGACTGCTATGGGCTCAACGGAGGCATCATCATGTTGCCGATAAACAAACATGAAAGGTTTGAATCTGCTGCTATAATAGAGACGTGCCCATATATACGCGTGGCTGCTGACTGCTGTTGCACCACATAAGCACGATTTATACGCGAGAGAGGAGGGCCAAGCATACAGCCACTCATACAGATGGGCGTGGTGATCCGACTTGCTGCAAATGACGTTTGCTTTTCGTCAACTCAAAGGTACGAACACCCCGTGACTGATTTTTTAAGTAGGAATTTCGTGGCAGCAAATCACCGTTGGTTGCTGCTTTGCCTCAAATTCCTTGAGTGGTTTCAGACAAAAAAAGCAGGAACAGAAGCTGAAAACCCCTATTTACAAGGGGCTTCAGAATGAGTGCGTACCACAGCAGTGGTTACGCCATGCATTATTGGTGATTCCATGTAGAAAAGCTTTACACACGTCAAGTCAATCTTGACTCCAAGGCCTGCTCGGTGAATGGAGCCTTTACCCACCACTGCAACAAACCTGCAAGCGAGGTCACCAACAACGACAACCTACAGCGACCGCCAAATTCCCCAACAAAAAATGGTGGGCGCGCAGCGTACCCAACGGAGCACTTTCAACCACAACCATCACCCCCCACGCATATCTTCTGGGCAATCACATTTGCAATAAACAAACAGCTGTGTGGGACCAAAGCACCTCCCACCCTTAACGCCCACGGCGGCGGCATCACCATCATCATACACGGCCTCCGTAAAGGCCCCCCTACGAAAAACAAGTGCCCAGCGTGTTCGAGCGCGCGCGAGAACTACACGATGGCGTCCCCACGCACAAGCGCTCAACTGCAAGGGGGGGGGGAAGAGTACGAGCAGAATACCTAAAACTTCCGGACCGGACGAATCACATCAAAAGGGCTCTCGTTTACGGTGTGTACGGTGGCACTCTCCCTCTCAAGTCCGAATCGCGAACGACCGGGTTGCTTTGAACGACTTACTGCTGTAGTTCTGTCAAGGGCGGCGTCGCGTTGCAGGGTACACGGCACACCCGCCAGCAGACGGAGACAAAGGCAAGAAGAAAAAAAAACGCGAGAATCGCTGCTAGAAACCTGTAGAACCATATCCATGCTTTTAACAAACAGCGACACATACGTTGTCACTGCGGCGTCTTGTACTTTCATCTCCCGCTTCTTGGAAAAAAATATCACAACACACCCCGAAGGAGCGATGAGTGTCTTTTTCCCCTAAGAGCTGGGTACAGCCGGAAAACTGACCAAGGCACACATCACCGGACAAATACCATGAGCAGCACCACCGGAGAGGCGGTAACAGCGGCGACGGCGTACGCGACGACAGGGGGACAAACTAATCTGTACAAGGGCCACATTCCTTCCCGTACACAGCAGTCAGTGCCGAACAGTTCTGCTGTTGTACGACGAGCGCCTGTGACTCTCAACCGACGCCGTGCAGTACAGCTTGGGATGGTGCCACCCAGTCGCAAGTGAACGCATGTTCGCGTATCCCCCTGCACATCTCCTTTCGACCAATCACGAACGCATGGTCTTTGGGGGTCCACTGGACACGGGGTCCTCGCGGATGGATGGGAAAGGACGACCCACCCGCTGCTTTCCTTTTCTCGAGTCGCGCCGGCGGGGGCGATGAGCTGCAAGAGGTTGTAGCTCTCTCGACCTCTCTACCAAACAAGACATGTCACATACCCCCACCCCCCACCCCTGCACATCTGCGTATTGCATCCACACCTATTGCACCACCCGGCGCCTTCGCACGCCCCTCCTCTCTCTAGACCGTTTTGCGATACCTCAACGGGCTGGTGTTGCAACGCAGTAGGATAAGACCAGCAATCCGGCGACTCGTACACGATCCATACGACGGGCAAAGGGGCGGGCCCCTCCTCCTGGGGCAAGAGTTGCTCTCGATCGGCCTGGCCGGAACCCGGCCGGCGTTTTGTTTTACTTGGCGTCGTACCAGGTCTTGGCGGACTTGGCGTCGACCAAGAGGTCCACCTGGCAAAAAAACACAAGCGGCACACGTATTCAGCAGCGCAACACTGGAACAAGTAATTAAATACCACAATAAAACACATTTAAACACGACAAGACAGTGTGAGAACGCAACCAAAATCGAGCAGCTACAAGATGCATATGCATACGAACACCAAAGAGGGGTACGTGGTACAGCAGAATAACGGCCGCAACGACACATCTGCACCAAAATATCAACGCAGACCATCCCGCGTCGAATCAAACAACCAAGGAGTACCGCTCTGCAGCAGCAGCAGCAGCAGCAGCAGCGGTAAGAAGCGAACCAAGCTTTCACGTTCCCCCTTACCCGGAGCTCTCTCAGGCCAATTCCGTCCCACGGCTGCTGCATGCACCGCACCGTCTCGGCCAACGCCTCCTTCGCCGATTCCTCCGGTCCTTCCAGGATCACCTCGTCGTGTACCTGCCGAAACAGCAACAGCATCATCATTATCAGCAACAAGAACAAGCAACAGCAACAACCACAGCAGTAACAACTAACAACGACGACAACAGACAAGCAAAAACAGAGGGGAGCAACGCGTCCGAGGGTCCCACGAGGACAAACAAAAAGAGAGCACGGGGAAAAGGAAGAAAAAAAAAAAAAAAAGACACCACAAAGACAAATTACACCGGGAGGAGGAAACTGCTGAGGACCTACCTCCCTCAACAAGGCAACCCTTCAGGTAAAAAATGTACCACCAAAGCACTTGCCAGAAAAACACACACCCTAAAAAAAAAAAAAGACACCTGCAGCAGGAGCTTCCAGCCCAGCTTCTTGAGAAGCGGGCTGCGGACGATCCCGATCATGGCAACCATCGCCACGTCGGCCGCGCCGCCCTGGATGGGGGTGTTGATGGCGGCCCGGGTGCCGTGGCCCACTTTACCCCTGTCGTTCGAGGTGATGTCTGGCAGCTTGCGATACCTGTTTCGCACACCATGGTGTACGCAGCAGCAGCAGCAGCAGCGTCGGGGGGGGGGAGACAAAACAAAAACATTTTATCGCTAGCAGTACGGACAGAAGGAGGTACAGGGCAGAGAGACCCCAACGGATTTTAATGTCAAGACAACCACAACAACAAACAACAACAACACGGAATCGAGCGAAGCGAGTAGGACGCGCGTTGAGAGGAGAACAGTCCACGAACGTCGGAACGACAAACGACAACAAACAACCCACCTGCCCATGAGCGTGCGAGAGAACCCAGTGTCCTTCGCGTTCTGGATGACCTGCTTCTGCCACCTCTTCACCTCGGGCCTGTCAGCGTACCACGCCTGCCACAGCCACAATAAACATAAAAAACAAACACAGAAAGCACGGGCGTGTCGACGAAAAACGAGGTCCAGGACGTTTGGGGGGGGGGGGGGGGGGGGGGAAAAGTCAAAACTTTTCCGAAAACCCCTCCCCCAAAAAAAAAAATTAACCCCGGAAAAAAAAAAAAAAAA